TGTTTTCCATAAACCCATGCTGATTGGCATTACTTTTTATTAAGAGTCCCAACCCATATCAGACACTCCATTCTTCTTCGAGTGATGGGCCCCATGTGTAGTCCACACATGGGTGTACATGTGTCTGAGTCCAGAAATTCTTCAAAGCAGTGTCCACTGACATGCACATGCGCAGAAGCTTCCCTCGTACTTCCGACCGAGGGCATAAGCGGCCGTGCAGGTTCACACCTCTCCAGTTCCTTCTTACCGCAGCATGACCTGAGACAGAATTTTGTGTCCTCCTTCATTCTGTGCATAGCCTGTAAACTCTTTGTAACTAGTTTTGATATCTTCGCTTACTAGTTATAATTACTATAGGATAGTCCGTTTTCCCCTCCCCCAACCCGTCCCCATGCTGCCTTTGGGGAAAATCCTTCCTGATCCCAGGAATCTGTCTCCTGCCATTGCTCCTTCTCCATCAGCGATGAGCATCGACAGTCCCTGTGTTGCCTGGGTGAGGCACATATCTCTGTGAAGTGCAGGATCTGTTGATCCTTCCCACCCACAGCTTGAGAGGACCGAGGGCTCTGACTAAAAAGATTCCTGATGGAGGATGCTATGAGACCGCGCTCTGTCCGGGCCTGGGAGACCCCTGTACGTTGGCCTCAACTAACCAGCAGTGCCCTCAAACAGGAGTCTTGGAGTGGAGCCTTTGCCACCGAAGACAAGGACTCCCCCTACAAGGCTCCCCATGAGAACAAGGGGCACTCTCACGGGCATAAGGACAGATCACCGCAGAGGATTGTTCATAATAAATGCGTTTCCTCCTGGGGCTGGAACCAGTTGGGTGAGATGTTGCATATTGAACCCACAGAACCAGCTCCGTCAAAGACCCCCCAGGCTGGGGGGCCAGGTACGCAAAAAGGGATCTGCCACATCTGATGGTGACCGCAAGATCAAAGCAGACATACGCTCACCAGCCCCATCTACTAGTGCGGGTCCGGCAGCATCGTCAGTACTGCCTCCTCTATCCAAACACCAACTGGCTGTGACAGACGAGCCCAGTCCTTCAGGTGGTGTCTGCTGGAATTCCCCAGACTCTGGGCTGTGTGGAGACCTTTGTAGCACCAGAGGATATATTCCTCCCCTACTCGCTGTCTCCGCTCCTTTTGGGCCATGCCCCCTAAGGGACATCCTTACCCCAGAGGAGGAATCATTACCAATGTCCCAGGAGCAGTTCCCTCTCCACCCATTGGGCAGGAGCGTCCAAGTGCCAATGATATCGCTACGGACAGAACTGTCCTCTGAATCGGCGGAGGTAGCTGCAGCAGTATCTCCGCAAAGGCACAGGTGCCCCAGCAGCCAAGAGGCTCTGCTTACCATCCTTCTGTCTGTGAACCCCTCACCCTCCAGGACAGCTGGTACCAATTCCCTTGGGGGCCACCATGACTGATGGATCCCTGCTTCTGGCCTCATTGGGGCCCTTGGGACCCCTAAGGCAGGTACCTGGACCCTTTGCAGGAGTTTTACCATTCCTCCCCCTCTTGTCAGCCAGTTCCATTAGAGTATGAGGAGGAAGAGCTGGAACCTGTTCTGATGGGGGCCTCATCATCACCATCTCCAGGCGATGCTGTCACTCCATTGCCTTCTCCACTGGATGACCACCATCAGCATCAGGAGCTGTGGCAAAAGGTTGCTAACGATCTACAGATCCCATTAGAAGAGGTCCACGGCCCTCAGCCCTGTCCCTTAGACACTTACAGGGACCGAGTGGCCCTTCCAAATAACAAGGCTATATTAGAACCAACCAGAGCGGTTTGGCACACACCAGCATCTTGTGCCACTACACCAAAAAGAATCAAAAGACATTATTTTGTTCCTGCCAAAGAAGCTAGCTTATTTTTCCCCCCTCATCCTGTCCCTAACTCGTTGCTGGTACAGGTGGCTATGGAAAGAACTTGGTCGCACTACCAGAAATCCATCCTGGCAGATAAGGGCTCAGAGATTGGACCTCCTGGGAAGGAAGGTGGTCTCCTCCATAGGTCTCCAATTTCGTATAGCTAATTACCAAGCTTAATTAGCAAAATAAGATTTCAATACCTACATCAGGCTTGCAGACTTTAGGGACAAACTTCCCATGGAAGTCGGAGCCCAGTTCCAGTCCTTTCTGGATGAGAGGAAGCTAGTAGCCAAAGGTGGCTCTCCAGACTGCAGTAGATGCCGCAGGTACAGCAACCAGAAGTTTGGCCACAGGATGGGTCATGTGAAGGGACTCATGGCTCCAGGTGGTTGGGTTTCCTAGAGAAGTTCAAAATACCATCCAAGAATTCCCCTATGATCCCTGGGGATTTACATTCCAGCCCCCAAGAGGAAACACCAGAGCCAGCCCCTTAGACTATGCCCACCCCCTTCTCATGCTCCATATTACCAACGTCCACCTGAGCCTCTGCGTAAACAGAGGCTTCAGAGGTTCCATTTCTCAGCTCCCTCTGCTGCCACAGCCTCCACTTACTCCCAACCGCAGGACAAAGGCCATTTTTTGACATGCAGATCGAGACCCGTGTACCACCACCAATGCCACCTATTTCCTCTCTTGTCATCTTTGGAGGCCGGCTTACTTTCTTCTCCCACAGCGGCAACAAGATCACTGCAGACAGTTGGGTCCTGGAGATTATCCATCAGGGATACTCCATGGAGTGTCTGGCATTCCTGCCTCACAAACCACCTTCCCAATCCCCCTTTGGGGGACCACTCTCACCAATTGATTCTTTAACAAGAGGTGAAATCCCTTTTATGCCAGGAGGCAATAGAACGTGTCCCACCTCAGCATCCAGGGAAAGGGTTCTATTCTCCGTATTTCTTAATACCCCAAAAGATGGAGAGTTGAGACCCATCCTGGACCTTTGGCAACTCAACGTCTTTATTTGAAAGCTGACGTTCAGGATGATTACGCTGGTATCTATCATCTCCTCCCCTCAGAGGGAATGTGGTTTGCAGTTTTCGACATGAAGGATGCATATTTTCATGTAGATATTCACCCATCTCCCAGGAAGTTCCTGCGCTTCATGGTTGGCCAAGAGCACTGTCAGTTTCGTACCCTCCCCTGTGGGCTCACTACAGCACCCCCAGGATATTCACAAAAGTTTTTGCCATGGTAGCAGCCCAGATGCAATGCCAGGTCTATATTGTGTTTCCATACGTGGACGACTGGCATCTGGTAGGCCAATATTATCAGAAGTCGGGTCAGCAACATGATCTCTTTGGCGTCTTCTTGCTACCTCAGGTGTTTGCATAAATGAAGAAAAGTCCATTTGGTCATCCACAAGGACGATAATTTTTATAGGAGCGCAGCTGGACTCTGTTTCTGTGAAAGCATTTCTCCTCTCAGACAGGTTTTATCCAATAAGCAACCTGGCCTCTTGCATCACATGCAGACCACAAGTCACAATGCACTGGTGTCTTTCTCTGTTGAGCCACATGGCTGCATGCACCTACGTGACACTGTCAGACTCCATTTGAGGTGCATGCAAGCTTGGCTCAACTCAACCTTCCGACCAAGCAGGGATTGCATTGACTCCAACGTTGCTGTCCCACCAGAGTCCTCACCTCCCTCACTTGGTGATCCAACCCAGACAAGGTCATGGTGAGGACTCCCTTCAGCCCTCCCATATCAAAGGCCACCATCCTGACACCTCCCTTACAGCGTGGGGCACTCATATGGACCCCCACACTTCAGGGTACCTGGACCCCAACAGAGGGCAGCCTACATGTAAGCTTACTGGAACTGAGGGCAGTCCACCTTGCATATGAGGCTTTTCTTCCCCCCCATAGGCCCACTCCATGTACAGGTAACGTCAACGTTGCCACAGTGGTCTACATAAACAGGCAAAAGCGAGATCTCGTCCACTCTGACTGGGAGCAATCAGGCTTTGGAACTGGTGAAACCACATTGCGATGCAGGTTGCACACCTCCCAGGTGACCACAACTCTCTGGCAGACAAGTTGAGCAGGAGCTTATCTGCAGACCATGAATGGAAGATCCAAGAGACATTTCTAACATTCGCACAAAGGGGAGCTCCACTATGGCACCTCTCGGCATCCCAGATGAACAAAAAGCTTCCCATGTATTGCTCTGGGGGAGCTATAGACCGTGATTCCCTGGGTAATGCTCTCCTGCTGCCCTGGATGGATGGTCTCAAATACACCTTTCCTCCCACCCCCCTACTACTACAGGTTGTACGGAAGATCCATCGTGACAGAGCCACCGTCATCCTCCTAGCACCCTACTGGCCCAGACAGTTCTGGTTCACAGAAATCCTAAGAATGTCCACAGGCCCCACTATCGGGATCCGCCCATTTCCGGATCTCCTAACTCGGGATGGGGAGAAGATCAAGCACACCAACCCAGGCTCACTCTGCCTCATGTTTGGATGGATGTTGGAACAGAACTCTCATCCTCCACCCCGTTGGGGAAATCCTTAACTAAAGCAGAAAGGATTCTACTAGAGCCTGCTACCTGGGTAAATACCAGCACTTTTTCACCCTGGGTATGTCGCAACCAACATTCGCTAGAAGCCCTGGGTATTCCAGTTACCCTAGACTATCTCCTCTCCTTAAAAACGTCAGTTGGCTGTCAGTACACCTAGCAGTGATTAGTGTCTCCCTCCCTCCAATAGAGGGATGTTCTGTCTTTGCACACTTGGTTACTGTGCTATTTATGAAGGGCTTGATCAGGACTTTCCCAGTGATCATCAAACCTACGCCGCATGGGACCTCAACCTTGTCCTGTCAACACTCTCAGGTCCACCCTTGGAACTCACGGCAATATGTGCCATGACCCACCTGTCCATGAAGGTGGCATTCTTAGTGGCCATCACTTCAGCCAGAAGGGTCACTGAGATAGCAGCCATGATGGCAGACCCTCCTTATCCAATATTCCATAAGGTTTCCCCTTATATTACACCCCAGATTCCTCCTCAAGATTGTGTCCGAGATCCACATCAATCAATCAGTACACTTACCTCTATTCTTCCCAAAACCCCATGCATCTTCCAAAGACACGACACCTCGGTCCCTTGACATCAGGCATGCTCTGGTGTTCTACGTGCAAAGAACCAAACCCATTAGGAAATCTCCGAGACCATTTGTTGCCATAGCAGAAAGATCATCTGGGCAAGTCATATCCTCACAGAGGATTTCTAAGTGGGTTTCAAGATGTCTTAGAATGCTACAAAATAGCAAAACTTACCCCTTTTGGGGGTATCACAGCGCACTCCACAGGAGCACAAGCTGCCCCCACAGCATCCTTATCAGATGTTCCACTACAGATTTGCAAAGCAGCAACTTGGAGTTCTGTCTAGGTGTTCACCACTCACTACACTCTAACTCAAGCTGCAACTGTGGATGCAACCAGAGGGATGGCAGTATTACAGGCATCTCTGCTACCACCTTCCTTGCACCCTTCTCCACTCTGAACACTGCTTGCCAGTGACCCACCTATGGAATACCTATAGGGACCAGCACTCAAAGAAGAAATGGAGATTACTTACTGTAACTGGAGGGTCTTTGAGATGTGTAGTCCCGATCTTCATTCTACTGCCCGCCCTCCTTCCCTCTGCTTCGAATTTGGTTGCATTGTGGTAACATTAACAGTCCAGGAAGTTCCTCAGCCAGCTCTTTTAAAACTCTTGGATGAAAGTTATCTGGACCTGCTGATTTTAAAATGTCTAATTTTAGTACCTGCTACACCTTCCTGAGACAACAGTGGAATGGAAAGAGTGTTATATGACATGACTACATAATCTTTTTTCCCAAATATAGAACAGAAACATTTACTTCTGCCTTTTCTGCATTATTGATAATGGTATTGGTCCATGGTAGAATTGTTAAAATTATTTTTCCCCAATATACTTTTAAAACTTCTTATTGTCTGTAGCTCTGCTGGTCATAGATTTCTCCTTGTGTCCTTTAGCTTCCCTGATCAAGTTTTTATAATTCCAAGCTTCTGACTTATATTCATTACTATTAACTTCCCCTTTCTTCCATTTGTTGTTTTTTTTTTAATTTTCATAATTTCCTTCACTTCTCTTCTTAACCAGTACAGCTTTCATCCTCAATTGTGGCTTTTTGGGTATCTTGTAAAATGTTCTTAAACAATTCCCAAGTATCATTCACATTTTTCTGATTAAATTCTTCCTCCCAGCTGATTTGGCTCATAATTGCTTTCAGTTTTGTGAAAGTGGCCGTTTTAAAGCACCAAGTATTTACATCATTGGTCTGGACTTTATACTGTATGCACATTATAAACATGATCAAACCATGATCACTTGCACCTAAGGTACCATTCGTTTTGAGTTCTGTGATCAGTTCCTCTTTATCTGTGAAGATGGGTCTAACAGAATTCCCCAGTGCTGGATGCAACACTCTTTGAGTTAGGAAGTTGTCCATAACATTTAGAAATTCTGAGACTGTCTTAGTATTAACACAACATGCTGGGGGAACTCTGAGAGCAATTCTCTTTTCCTTCCTTCCAATTCTCCCCACAGCTCCTCCAGGGCTGGCATGACTCCACATAGGCCTGAACACTGGGATGGACAATGGTGCCACAAGCTAATATTCACACGGCGGATGCTTTTAATTTGCATTCATCTGCATATGTGGTTGCTGCTTACGTTGCATTGCGCTGCACTGGGTGCAAAGTTAATCAGTGTTTACTTCCAACCTGTAACTGTTGTAATAGTAAAAAGAAAAGGAGTATTTGTGGCACCTTAGAGACTAACAAATTTATTTGAGCATGAGCTTTCATGAGCTACAGCTCACTTCATCGGATGCATACTGTGGAAAAAAAAATTTTTAGTCTCTAAGGTGCCACAAGTCCTCCTTTTTCTTTTTGCGAATACAGACTAACACGGCTGCTACTCTGAAACCTGTTGTAATAGTGTCGTTTGTTTATCTTACCAGTCTTGGAAGGAGAAACTCAACATGTCGTCTGGTAAGCCAGGTTGATAACGATTAAAGACATATTCCCAGTTACTGTCTTTTCTGTCCTGGACCTTGTCGAATTATGAGCAGCAGGAATACATTCTAGAGCTGTGTAAAGCCAGAGGCCATGTTTCCAGCGAAAACCTCAGGATGTCCCATAATAGGCTCTGTGGTGCGGCAGCCGCTGCTTTCTATCCTAGTGTTGTGTCTATGGGAGCAGGAGGAAGATAAGTGTAACATACACCACTCTCCCATCCACTATACTTAGCCTGCACTAAGACACAGTGCTGGGTACCCTGACGCCACCATGCTTGTACATCAGCTTTTCCTTTCAAAACTAATTAATCCATTAAACTTTTTTAAATTAAAGGGGTCATAGTACAGGGATGTTCTGAAGTAGGTGAAGTAGTTTGGGGAATACACTGCCTTTTACAGCGACCCTGACCAACCTTAGCAAAGGGATCTGATTCCCCAGAAATGTCCCTGTTTCTGGTATTTTGGCTTCCTTTCCTAAATTGTTTTTGTATGAATCTCCCTGGGTATTCCTCTGATTTTTTCAGAACAAATTAATGCACTAATTGGGACAAGAAATTCTCCTGTTAAACTATCAGCATTAAAGTTGCCATACAAATATGGTGGCATTGGGATGCCCATAACTAGGGGTGTGGATTTTTATTATTTATTTTCCCTGTTATGGTAGCAAGCCCAACTCAGATCAGGGCCCCATGGCGCAAGAGATTTACTATGTACAAGCATGTAGTAAGGGGCAGTCCCTGCCCCAAAGGACTCTCATCTCAGTAGACGAGGTGGGAGAGGGGAGTACTGTTCTCCCTGCTTTATAGAGAGAACACTGAGGCACGGAGAGACGAAGTGACTGGCCCAAGGTCACACACAATGTCGGTGCCAGAGCTAGCAATTGAACCCAGCTCTGGAGTTCCCAGTCTGATACCCTACTCATACGTCCAAGGGGTGTTCCCAGGCAGGAAAAGCAGCTGAGGCACTATATAACTTTTATAGACACAATACTGAGCACTGGCAAAGGGATGCCATGCCACAGCTCTAGCCAGGGGTCAGACTCTGAGTGGGAACTGGGTGTGCAGAAGTCAGATGGGCTGTGGATGATTGCTGGGGGTGGAAGGGAAGAGTTGGATGGAGTGCTGCTTAGAGGGGGAGGAGTGGGGAGAGGGACAGGCTGGAAGTAGGGGAGAAGCAGCTCAGACTCCCCCTGCCCCATCCCATGGTTCTTTGGAGACAGCATGGGGCAAGGTGTGAGAAATGGGGGAACAGCCTCAGGGAGAAGGAAGCCTGGTTTCTGAGAGCTGGAGAGGTCACTGATAGCAGTGATCTTAGCGATAAAGCAGGGCAAGGTGGGCCTGGGTATAAGGCCAGAGGGACAAGGTGGGGAGGGTAAAGATGGAATTGTGGGCACCATGGTGGCGGGGTGGGGGGGAGCGGCAGATGGCTGGAAGATCGCTCAGAGGGAAGTTGGCTGGGAAAGTGAACTCTGTGGCAAACCGGAAAGGCCGCATATGCCTGATAGCAACCAAATCAATACAGCAGCACATGGTTTGTGAATGGGTCGATAGGGTGAGGAGAAGACAGGTGGCTGGGTTAATGATTGAGCAGGGTAGTGCTGGGCTGGTGGAAAGTGTGCCAACAATCACTGCTGGGGTAGTGAGCTGGTGATGTTGGCAGAGGGCAGGTCCCAGGCTGCGGAGGGGCTAAGTGGCTATGGATGAGGTGGGGCAGCTGCCCTGCTCCCAACCTTGAACATTATGCTGAGTAAACAAGTCATATCTTGGTCCTGTTTATTCTCAGGGTGGGGGCGGGGGAAGCGTTTGGTGTTTGGCCAGGACACAGGGCCAGTGTTTACAGAGCGGTTTCTGGCCTGGCAATGCAAAGATGCAGCCCTCTCCCTCTTGACTAACCTGAGCAGGGGGCGGTTGCAATGCCACTCCTCAGCTGCTCAAGTGGAGGGAGGAGGATGGGGGCTTGCGTGTTTGTTCCAGCACGCTGTAATAAGTGTCAATGGCTCCAAGGTGCTTCCTTCCCAAACAGCTGAATTCAAACAGGGCTCACCACAGAGCCAGGACTGAAAACTAATCCTTAGGAGAGGAGAACGGATTCCCAAGGGATGGGCCCTGGAAGGCCCACGGCTGTCCCTCCTGTGGCAGCACTGGGCTGGTCAGAGACTGATGCACAAATGAGAGCCCTTCCCCTTTAGCTGATGTGGGGTGTGGAACTAGCAACAGGAGCCATCTTGGGAAGCTCTCAGAGTCTGGCCTGAGTTTGGAGCCTCTGACTGGGGAGAGGGGGAGCTCTGTGCAGGGACAGGCCTGAGGGGCCAAGAGCTCTATCTGGGAAGGACTCTGCCTCTGAGTGCTTGTCCCAGAGACGCACAGGTGCCAGGCGGATTGAGGTACCCACTGGGCCTTATTGCCCCCTGCTCTTTGTGTCAGCGTGTGGGCCTGACTCATGGCTGGTTCTGTTCGTTGTTGCATGGCTGAATTCCCAGGACCTAGGGGTGACAGTGGACGAGAAGCTGGATATGAGTCAGCAGTGTGCCCTTGTTGCCAAGAAGGCCAATGGCATTTTGGGATGTATAAGTAGGGGCATAGCGAGCAGATCGAGGGACGTGATCGTTCCCCTCTATTCGACATTGGTGAGGCCTCATCTGGAGTACTGTGTCCAGTTTTGGGCCCCACACTTCAAGAAGGATGTGGATAAATTGGAGAGAGTCCAGCGAAGGGCAACAAAAATGATTAGGGGTCTGGAACACATGAGTTATGAGGAGAGGCTGAGGGAGCTGGGATTGTTTAGCCTGCAGAAGAGAAGAATGAGGGGGGATTTGATAGCTGCTTTCAACTACCTGAAAGGGGGTTCCAAAGAGGATGGCTCTAGACTGTTCTCAATGGTAGCAGATGACAGAACGAGGAGTAATGGTCTCAAGTTGCAGTGGGGGAGGTTTAGATTGGATATTAGGAAAAACTTTTTCACTAAGAGGGTGGTGAAACACTGGAATGCGTTACCTAGGGAGGTGGTAGAATCTCCTTCCTTAGAGGTTTTTAAGGTCAGGCTTGGCAAAGCCCTGGCTGGGATGATTTAACTGGGGATTTGGTCCTGCTTCGAGCAGGGGGTTGGACTAGATGACCTTCTGGGGTCCCTTCCAACCCTTATATTCTATGATTCTATGATTCTATGATCCCCCAGAGGCTGGGAAAGAAGGTCCCCGTGTATGAGCGCCATGCTTGTGGGGACCTAGCAAGGGCTAGGCGCTACCTGCAGCACTCCCTGCCAGGACTTGTGGGGCCATGGTCACAGCAAACCAATTGCCATGCCCTGCTGCTTACACGGGCTCTGAGCCTGGGGCTGTCTGAGGGCAAAGGAGGGCTCAGTGACAGATGCTATGGTGAGATGATCACAGAGACTCTTACAAATCCTGGGTAAATTCCCAGGATGGCTCTTACCCTTGCCCTCTAACTCTTTCCTGCCACTCCCTGTTTGTACAGCACGGAGGACAATGGGACACTGATCTCAGCCTCTTGGTGCTAAAGGAATACCAATACTCTGTCCCACTTTAATACTTCCTAGATCTGGGATATTGAGCATCTTCATAATCTCAAAAATCCTGAAATAAACTGGTTTGCAAGAAAAATCCCTTTTGAGGCAGTCAGTTTTTGAAGAAGCTGTGATGATGCTGTCTAGCACACTGTCTGTGTCCAAACAGGGCTCTGAAAATAGTCTGGCATTTCCGTGTGAAAGATTATCACTTTGCAGTTGTGTGCTTTGTGGATGTGTCAACAGGACTTTCACCTTCATGCTTTGGATAGCTAAACACTAGCCTTGCTTTGTCACTTGATCTTGTTGAAACTTATCCAAGTTATAAACATTTGCAGTAGGATAATTCTGTTGTTTGGTGTTGAATTATAACCCAAGCTGAAGGCCCAAACTCTTCCAGGTTTGAGTAACTTTACATGCATGAGTAGTCCTGTTGCTTTCTCAAGTTGGAAGTGGGTGAGCTTAAGACCACACTGAATGGATAATAATTTGTGGCTTGCATAATTGTTTTGGATATTTTATATTCTGTTGAGAAGCCAAACTACCTAGGTATTAGACCTTGTCGAATTATGAGCAGCAGGAATACATTCTAGAGCTGTGTAAAGCCAGTGAAAAAGTTTCCATGAAAATTCACATTACATTTTTCACCAATTCAATCAGTGTAGGTGTGACTGAAAGTACCCCTGTACTTACACCTTACATGCTATTATAATTTTTGCACAAAATATGTTTTGTTGAGGTATCATTGATAACTAATAACTCTCTAGTCAATAATATCACGGTGAAATGTATGTAGCAACATTATATGTAAGGCTATGATTGAAATCCCCCGTATTATGGTCTTAGCACATGTTCAAAACCACACAAGCTGAAGTATTCTGAAGGAAGAAATGTGTTTCTTTTTGGAGCATATTTTGAGGTATATAAAGTCTAGGGTATATATATTAACATGCTCAAAACGGTCCTCACCAAGCAAGGACACTCCACCAGAGAAGCAGATAGCATCAAGAAATGAGGCATCCAAATACCCTGAGAGAGCCTGCTTCAATACAGAAATAAATCTCCCTCCGACTGCACATCCCCAGTTATCACCTACCACCCCACACCAGAACCCATATGGGTTGTCATCAAACAACTACAACCCATATTTGATGGGGACCCCATCCTGCAAGAAATCTTTTCTAAATTCCCTCTTTTGGCCTTCAAACAACCCCCCAACCTCTCCAAACTCATCAGAAGCGGCTCCCCACAGACAAGGACACACCAACTCAAAGCGGCAGCAGACCATGCCAGAACAACACATGCAAAACCTGCAGACATCTTTCCATTGCTACAATGATCAAAAAACCCCACAACACACCTTTCAAGACCTGTGGGTCCTACACATGCCTATAATGTGGTGTACCTCAGTCAGTGCACTAAATGCCCCAATAAAAACTATGTGGGTGTAACCAATCACCCCGCTCTCGAACTCACACTGGAAAATAATACGACTTCCTATCACCTGTGGATGAACACTTTTCAAAAAGTGATCACTCTATATCTGACCTATCAGTCCTCATCCGCAATGGAAATCTGCACAACACTTTAAAACAATGAGCCTGGGAGCTTAAATTCATAACTTTGCTAGACACTAAAAATTATGGACTG